GTCATCCTTCACCATTGGAGTTGCCATTCACCATTGGAGTCATCACTCACCATTGGAGTCATCATTCACAATTAAAGCCCTCTTAATGCAGTCTTTCAGTACAAGCAATACCATTACAGTGATTCTCTTGAAGAATGTATCAACAAAAGTCTAGCAATTAAGAAAGCTTCTTCCGTCACAAATTATGGTTAAAATTAAATTGTATAATTATTGTTGATAGAGGAATTCATTCCTTAGCGATAATATATTGATTGCCAGTCTTATGTATATGGAATGTCATTTGTCAAAAACAAACCCCGTGTCAATTTGGAAGATCACATCTGATTATAATACTAGTAAAATTCAAATGGAATAATTACAGCGTAAATGAATATACAATCTGAGTTCATTTTAAAATCAACACGGTTAGTTTACATGCACATATAGGTGTCTACAGGAAAATATAGGAAATGCCGCAACCGGTATACTCATAAAGATATCTCTAATGACATGATTGCATTAAATCAGACTAAGGTCATCGTAAAAATACATAATGTTGTAATTTACGAATGCAAACTGAGACGTCAAATATACTTGCTGTATCGCTATTACAAGATTCAAAAGGTTTGCAATCAATACGAATCTCTCCTATCTTCTTTAGTCATTGTGAACTGCTGCTCTCCTCGGCTTAGGGTCTTCTCCAGCTATAATGCCTATTAAATCATTCACGTCAAATTCCACATTTCCTGAAAAGAAATTATAATATATTCATTTTACGTTTTATGTGAACAATCAACAAAAAAAGCAAGTTGTTAGGAGCAGACACTTTGAAAAACGCACCTGTCAGCTGAGTATGACAAAATCTGAATTCAATCAAATGATATTAAAGTAGTTATATATTTACCGGTGGCTTGTGTGTAGCTTGAAATAGCTTCAAGAACAGCATCGCTGTCATAATCCATCGATAAAAGGTCTTCTGCAGCTGGTGTTTCTAGCAGATATCTCACATTTTTCATATTAGTATTGTTCTCTAAAACAAAAAAAACCCAGCATATCCCATGCATCGTAGTTTTTATCAATCATATACAATGACTATATCCATATTGATCATAATTATTGCTTTACTTTATCAAAGAGATGAAAACATTCTTTACCGAAATAATCAACAGTTAGTATTTTAAATTTTGTAAACCCAACTTGTATTGTATAGAACTAACTAATTGCATCAAATATATCACTTAGGTATATTTGTGTATGTGTGTGGGTTTGTGTGTGCTGGTTAATGGGTGTTGGTGGTAAAACAAAGCAAACACGAACTAGATATCAACAATCACTTGAAAGGTTGAATAAACTTGTTATATTTTCATTTTTTTTACATACGCAATTACTTTTGTTGCAAGTGTATTGATTGAGGTATACTTACTCTCTCGTTTCGCAGAGAAAGAGCCTGTTTCTGCTTTTTTGCTTTTCGAAGGTCTACTCTGAAAGAACAACGGGCTTGCTTGGCGTTCATAATGTGGAGCATCTTCTTCAATATCTGCAAAGTAATGTATAATGTTATGACCATAAGGAATGAGGAAACATTTAAAAGCATATTGTGCATTTCTTGTAAAGTATAAAAACAAATCTTTAGTATTTGAATATACTTCTTGAATGCTTCTGGTGTAAAATGAAACGTACTAAAATATTGCATTAAATAATATCAAACAAATAAAGTTGTGTGGATAGTATAATAACTATTGTTTTCATCGTCATCAACAGACGTACCACTATATTCTTCTGATTGTGGAGTGGTCACTGGATAAAGCTCCGCTGGAAGCACTTCTGGGCATTTATTTGCTGTATAAATCATAAAAGAAACTCCAATTAGAACAATTAACATGTATTTTGGAATGTCTTCTACGTACTATTTAGCAATGGTATCTTGTCAAACGTATAGCAAACTGTTAGCCAACGATAGAATAAAGTATATGCAAGCTGAATGACAAAGGTTTAAATTGGTCAAAACTGGAATATCTGATAAATGTTTAAGCATTGGGTTTTTTTTAAAATGTTTGATAAGATAAACAACTTTCCCCATTTTCGTCCTATAAATTAAAAAGCATATACCTACCACGTCGAATTTTATTAATGGTACGGGATATTTCTGGTGATTTCTTTGGATCTCCCCTGGGAAGAGACGGATCAGGAAAAAAGGGTGAGCTTTCCAAATCTACTGAGTCAAGCGCTGGGGCATAATCTTCATCAGTGTCAGTCACATCTTAAACATTTGATCGGATTCATGTCACTGCACGCTTTTCTACAGGCTATTTTAGCTTTTTAAAAAGTTATCAATACTTTCTTCGTGTTTTGCATATTTAAACAACAGAGTCTCAAATCATAAAAACAGGAATTCAATATCCAGCAAGAACATTTTGTCGTTTTTATAAGTGAATTTTTCAGAACATAAACATATATCACTTATTCAATATATAAACAGAATAGTTCTTCTATGAAAGTAATTTTTATTATTCCACCATGTTATTGCTATATGCTGGCAAACAAATGTGTATTGTTAATAATACAGCCTGGAATTAAAAAAAAAGAACACTTGTGCATTTCATGCATTCGAAAGTTGAAGGAGGTATATTTCAAAGCATTAACAACAACTCGTATTATTATGTACTTTATCGTTGTCTCAAGACGTTGATTGCATTAATGGGGAATGGAAATCTGTGCCTGCAAATGTGATCTAATACTCTTTACTTTTGTTTGTTTGTTTTGATATACCCTAAATCAACGATATGTAACCCATTTTGGTTTTAAATGTTACGTCAATTCGCCAGAGTTAACCTAACAGATATTCTAGAATGTACGACTGTAGATGTCCATCAAAACCAAATCATAAAAGATAAATATCTTTTATTTAAAAATGAAAGGTGCTTTCCAGAAAGATATCGGTAAAAAAGAGGAATATGACGAAAATAATCAAATTAAAAACATTAACGGTTTAAACTTTTGCATCAATATAACTCAAATGATTGACACGAAATAATAATTGAATACCTTGTCTGATATCCAATCCGAGTGCCTGAAATGAGACATACACACGTTTTAAAACTACAAATACGTGTCATGCAATTACACTATATGTACGTGGCATTCATACAAAATTTAAATTTATTATATTTTTTTATTTAGATGGGTATCTGGGTTAAATATAGTTTGAAATCGTAGACGAAATGAAGCCAAATGTTTATCATAAAAACTGAGCGATACACATTTTAAATACACAAGGCTAACCTATTGTATTTTTAAAATCAGAATTTTATAAAAAAAAAATAGGCAACCATGATATAACCTACTGTCATTAGTTTGGAGACCTTTTCCTCCAAGAACGTTCATATTTGCTAGTGTCTAATGGTTGGGATGCTTTTTTTTT